GGGCACCCCCGGGGCGGCTTGCGGCAGCTGCAGCACCAGCAGCGCATGGGTACCCACCAAACCCCCGCCTGCTAAAATCCGGGCAGCGACAACCATCCCTTGCAGCCCTGGGAAGCTCCGTGCGACCACACATGGCTATCAAACGCAGTTTCTTTAGTCATCTTCTCTTTAGTGATATTCTGGGTGGCATTTAGCGGACAAATGGTCATTGCATTACAATTTTCACCAAGTCATTTTGAGGAACGACGGGCTGGGTTAGCCCAGAGCACACCCTCGGCCGGGCGGCTGGGGCTCGGGGCGAGAGCGGAGGTGGGTGCAGCCCAGCGGCTGCCCTACTTCGCGTCGTTTCTGCCGACAAAGGTGAGGAGGTCCACTGCTGTGACCACACCGAACACCGTCTGCTTCGTGAAGGAACTGCCATTGGGGGGGAGGGGGACGGGACCTCCCCACAGCTGTGCAGAGGCTGCTGTTTGCTCATTAAAGAAAACCTTGACAGGGACAGCAGCTGTCTCTGCTCTGCCTCACAGAAACGACTGATTGGGTTACTGGGATTGCTTCAGGGAGGTTTTAGCTGCAGATAACGCACCCTTTACCGGAGCAGAAAGCTTAATTTCCTGGTTGTTTTTACCCAACCTCTGTTCCAGCCCTGCTTCTGCCACCACAGAAGTTTTCAGGCCAAACTAATGAAACTCTTTAAGAGCGGCGGTGAGATGCTGTCTGCTCTGCTCTCATAAGGTCCTGCACCACCATTAATAAAACAGCATTGCAACAATTACTTTAACTATCTGATAAATGTGTTTTTAAATAAAAATAAAATTAGCCATCAGAGCCCAAACACGAGATAAAATGCAAGCTCCGAAGGTGTGGGGAGAAGGTAATAAACAAGGGGGGAACTGTGACGGCATTAAAACAGCAGCTCTGGAAAAGAAAACGAGTGTTATTTGAAAACCAGAGCAAGAGGCACTGCATACAGCCGGCTGATATTTTTTGGTGGGTACCATGTAATTTGCAGATACCATTTAATTTATATCTATCTAAAATGTGATAGATTTTTGTTATTTAATGACAACCTAGATGAGAAAGGAAATTCTGCCCAGCTTTGTTTTTGGTGAGAGAATTGGAGATGCGCACCAAAGGCGGCTTTGAATGAGAGACTTTTGTTTGCAACTTTTTGTGGGAACATGGCTGGACTCGCAAGCCAGTTTCAGAGCTGATGGGGCTTCGGGGCGGCAGGCCACGAGACACAAGCAGAGGGGTTGGGATCACAGAATCACAGAATCAGAGACTCCACAACCTCCCTGGGCAGCCTGTTCCAGGGCTCCGTCACCCTCAGAGGGAAGAAGTTCTTCCTCATGTTCAGCTGAAACTTCCTCTGCTTCAGTTTGTGCCCATTGCCCCTTGTCCTGTCGCTGGGCACCACTGAAAAGACTCTGGCCCCATCCTCCTGACACCCACCCATAAGATATTTATAAGGCATTTATAAGGTCCCCTCTCAGCCTTCTCTTCTTCAGGCTGAACAAGCCCAGCTCCCTCAGCCTTTCCTGGTAGAAGAGATGCTCCAGTTCCCTCATCGTCTTTGTAGCCCCTGTTTGCACACGGTGAGTTTCGGCGGCCCCGAGTTCAGCAGCAGGAAGCCCTTTCCTAGCAGTCGATCCAGCACACTATTGCAAGCTGCCCACTGTAGGAATGCTTTGCGTGTTCAACATGTAATCCCGCAAAATCAGTATAAATACACCCTTAAGCTCTAATTCAGAAGACCAACACATGGGTCTTCCGACTGTTTTTGCACGTTGCTAACATTTTAAACAAAGCAGCTCCCTCGAGATAAGGCCAAATTTGTACTTCTAGAAGTTTTGCGGTGTAATTGTACTGGAAACGTGCGTTGGGTCAGATCTGCAGAACAGCACCTGCCACCATACCTGTTTTGGTCAGGGGAGCAACAAAGTGTGATCCCTGCTGCCATCGACGTGTAAGCAGCCCTCGTGCTGACATGGTGCTACCGCACGTGACGCTACTGAGCCGGTTGGCTTCACCGGGGAGGAGGTGGCTGTACAGTGGTTTAAGAATAAAGCAGAGCTGCTGGTACGGCTGCTTTACTGGACTAGTCCAGTGGTGCTCCCAGATTGGCAGAGCACCCCTATACCCAGCTGCGGTCCAGACAAGGCTCATACACAGATGCCGCAGGCCGCACGCGTCAGTGTGCACTGTGCCTCCTGACTCGCATGCCGCTGGCACAGGGCTTGCTCACAGTCCAACACATTTGGTTTCAGCCTTCTCTACTTGCCATGGACCTCCAGCGTAGGTGTCTGATAGCACCCAGCCTGCAAGGCCGCTTAGCATACAAATTTATCCAGACCCCTTGGGGCACACAGGCATGAGGACATCTCATGGTTGCACCTCCGGGGCGGCAAGTGGGAACAGGGATGTTCAGAGAAGGTGGCACAGCCTCTGGGCATGCGCATCAGAAGGTCCTTAAGCAGTGGGATACAGACTGCGTAGTTTGTTCCCTTGCATTTATATGCCTGAATTCCACCTAAGCTTTATCTAATGTGTCCAAACGCTCCTTTCGACCTTGCCCTTGGGATCCTAAGGCCACAGAGATCCCTGACTTCCCCATAGTTTCCTCTGTTGTCCACAAGCAGCAAGCTAATGATTTGAATTCAAGGTCAAGAGACTAAATGACTGTTAGAGGCCTGAACCTCCAGCTGCACAGCAAAGGCACTGCGCCCCATGCTGCTGCCTACAGCCCATCTCGGCTGCAGAGGAGGGGACCAAATGAGATCCCATCATGAATACCTTCCCAACCCCAAAAGTGGGTTTTCATGGGAAACCATGAGGTGAGGGGAGGGGATGGAGCTGATGGGTGCTCCAGCGTCACCCCTGCCTGGGGGGACAACGCAGCTCCCGTGGCCAGGATCTGGGAAGTGCTCCTGCAGGACACACACCCAGTAGCGTGCTGGTCCCAGGCTCCTGTGGTTAAGGCTCCCCTCCTCTCCCCCCATCCCTAAGGTGTCAGGAAAGGAAGCGAGTGAATAGTTGACAGTTCCAGGGCTTTACAGAGCCACGGGGCAGAAATTCTTCCTGCAAAGGCTCAGGGGCTCCACAGGTGAAGCAGCTGCGCTGATACCTGCCACACTCCATTTGAGAATTTCCCTCTCCCTGCTGAAACATTCATGCAAAGCCTGTGCAGTGCTTCTGCAGATACCTACACTGCATTTGCTCGTGTACAACGATAGCAAAATGGTCGTTCTCCAGGATGCAGGAAAGCTTCCTGAGGCTGTCCTCCAGGCCAATCTAAACAGGACAAAAAGAGACATTTTATGTTTCACTTCACGTTTAAAGGACAGCAGCAGGGACCCTGACTCCTGCCTCTAACTGTAGCCGTGAGCGGGCAGGGTGGCACCCGGCTGGGCGGGATCAGGTGCACCCCATCCACCCACGCTTTTTTGGGGAGATGGGAGAGGCTATAGGCAGCTTGCAGACTTGGCTTTGCTGCAGCTGAAATACAGCACTGTCCCCTAAAACAGCGTCCATCTACCCCACTCCGCCTCTGGGCTCCTGATGGCCACCCAACCCAGGCATCCTTCCCCTGCACACCCGCAGGACCTGCTCCGTGTCCTGTCAGAGCCCATGCCTGATGCCCCAGCCCTGCCGAGCCCTGGGAATGGCTGGGGTCTGCTTCCAGAGGGTCCCAATGCCCTGGTGGGATGAAATGCTCTGTCAGTGTAAGAACATGGGTGGACATACATGCCCTATGCTCTTGGTGTGAAAGCTCCCGTGTCTGAACCCCACAGGCTCAGAAGTATTTTTGCAGGTGCCTGTCCTTACTCTCACCTCCATGACATCTCCGTTGCCCTCCCCACTTCTCTCTACCTTCAGCTCTCTGTCTTTTCAATTACATCTTCTCCCAGCTTCTCTCGCACCTCAGCGTGGTGGTGCACCTCTCCCCTCCACTCCCCGTCCCCGGACAGCAGTGGACACCAGCCACAGCCTTAGCTGTACCTTTGAGAACTGGTTGCAGATGACCTTCGTAACGGGATCTGAGAACTGTGCGTTTCCAGCCAGTACGGAGGTGAGGGTGTTGTTGAGGGTCACCATTCCCAAAATAATTCTGCAAAGGAACAGGGAGTTTTCCAAAAGGTCAGACCTGAGGTGGGGCACACATTTAATGGAGGGGCTGAACTGCTCCCCTTGAAGTCAGTGACTAAATTGCTGCTGCCGTCAGCAGGAGGCTCCAGCCTTTTTCTCATCTGAGCAGGACGAGAAGATTCTTATCCTCACCAAGCTGTTGGTTTAACAGCAAAGTCTGCTATTGCAGTCCAGGACTTAGCAGCTGGGAGAAGGAAAACCTGTGAGCTCTCCAGTTGTTTATCCATGTGGATTTCCCACCCAGCCCTCACCTCTCCTCTCGCCTCTTCCTGCCTGTCCATTGATCCAACATCTGCTGAATCTGGTAGGCACTGGTTTTGGCTTTGACCTGAACTAACTAGCTCATTTACAGGGATTTTTCTTAATGAATCTTCACAAGCAGGTAGATGATACTTTAAAAATATGCACCCCAGAATCCAACACAAGACCCTCATCACTGGATGAGTAAATGGGACCTTCTCTTTAGCTTGATCGTGGCTGCTTTTCCCATGTGAATGGCCATCTCTTTAACGAGTAAAAACAGTTACCCTGATTCAGCAACAACAGGAGCTTTGTCATATCCCTTCTCCTGGAGGATCTCAATTGCCTTTTGACAGCTGACTTCTGGGAGGAGAATGAGAGGGGCTGAGAGATTCAGTTTCTGTACCTTGATGTCCCACCACCTGTTGAAAGACAAATGGCAGCACCAAGCTGTTACTCTCTGCAGCGCAGCTGTGAGCCTTGCTAAGGCAGGCAAGGCCAGCAGAGGTGAGACCAACCACACAGAGATATTCTGCCTGCCTGCAAATCTCACCTCACTCCTATCCCCGAAGTAGTAACGTTACAAGTCCATCCCGGCCAGGTCTTCTGAAGCCCTATGCCCGGTGTTCATACAACTGCAGAGGCAGGGCTGAGGCCAGCAGTCGGTAACGTGCTGAGCTGTCCTGAGTCCAAGGAAGCTACTGAGGGCTTCACTTCAAGCTCATGAGTGGAGGCCTACAGGTTTTATTTTTTTGTTTTATGTCCTCGGTCCTCAAAACACAGCATCTGCAGCTCCTCCAGGAAAGAACCTGTCAGAGATGCTCGTGTGACTTACGAGGGACAAGCTAGGCTTGTTTGCTGGGGACCACAGGCAACTCCCAACTCATCTCAGCCCTTCATCCTTGCAGAAAAGTCAGGGCAACACAAGAGGCCGGGAGAGCCACGAGCAATTCTCACCTAGTGTGAGAGGCCTTTGAAACGTATTAAATTTTTAGGAAATATTTTGCAATAACCTTTGGTTATAGTAACCCAAAGGAGCAGGTGACATCAATAATACCTGCTGTCTTGAAAGTGGGACTAGGTGCTTTATAAGCAGCCAGCATTTGCCCAGCCACATGTCAACTGGCATCAGCAGTTTGTGATTCCCTGCCTTGAGGGTACTATTTCCCCATGGTGTGAAAGAGACAGCTGAGTTGGTCATCTTTCTGGCCCACAGCTCTGGAAAGTGAAAATTTGCTGTTTCCTGCCTGTTAAGACCTCCAGCGATGTTTGAAAGGGTTCTTGCCACAGAAGGGAGCCATGTTCTATTGCACCTCAGCTGTGGAGCACAGAGAGGAGGCTTTGTGTGGAGCTAGATGTCCACCTCAGCTGTTCTGCTCAGCAGGGTCTAGGTGGCCTGGACAATGACTGCCACGTGGGAGAGGATCAGCAACTTTGGGACAAAAACAGCTCCTTTATAGACTTTGACTGGAGAACTGGGATATCTCAGCACTCAAGAGACAGGAGCTGACATCACAGCCTCCCTGGAGGGATCTGGACTTAACTGCGTTTTTTCTAAATTCTAAAAGATAGTACTTTCCTTTGAAGATAAGAATTTCCAGACTCAGAAAGCTGGTTCCCTTAGCACAGTTTATACCAGTGGAAGTTGTCTTACCAAGGCTTGTGCTCCTGGACATCCTTTAGGAAACCATTTTTTATCATCCACTTATCATTCAAAAATTTGGACCTAGAAATCACCAACAAAGAGTGAGTCTGTGAGCCTCCCAGAAGAAGTCGTGCTTTGTTTCATGCACTAGACCGCAGCACTGCCCCAGGGCTCCCATGATTTTTGCAGCTGGCTGCTCTTAGCCCCTTTTAAGGTCAGCGGGAGCTGCGGGTGCTCAGTAGCTCTTAGAAGCACGCCAGCTATTTGCCTTCCTAACGTTAGGCATGCAAGTTCAAAAACTGTAGCTTGGCTGATTCCTGCTCCGTGCAGTCAGTCAGTGACAAGCGGCAATAAAACCCAAGTGTCCCCTCACCCAGCACCCGGTGCTTGCCACAGTAGTGTTCTGTTTACTCCCTGCTGTTTGTTTATTTTTCCTCTGAGAGCTGCTGGAGGGGGACTCACTGCGGGCTCACTCAGGGTGCCCTGCTACCAGAATTATTGGGGTGGCTCTTCAGCAACCCACACCACCTGGGCTCAGCGGTGCTAAGCTCACGTCACCAAAGGGCCCCATGGCCCCAGCCCAGGCCATATGCAGGGAGAAGGCTACGGGAGCTCCCACCCCACTGCCAGAGAGCCGGCGAGGAAGCGAGAAACTCACATGTAGTTCCTGACGGAGTCGGGCAGGATGACGACGCAGCGCTGACCTTCCTTCAGGTCCCTGGCAGCCCGCACAGCGACGGACATGGCACTGCCTGAGCTGCCACCTGGAAGGATACCAAGAAGAGAGGAACAAGCGTTGAGGATGCCCAGGGTGCAGGGCATGGGGCACAGCACTGCCCTGGCTGATGCTACCAGAAGCACCCAGGCCAAGCAGTAGCAGAAGTGGCACCTCGTATATCAGGGCAGCTCAAGACACTGGGAGTAGGAGGACAATCAGCCCCACAGCCTTGTAGGCTTTAGGGTCAGGAAGAGATAGGGACTGAAGGGATAAGTTCTCATGGTGGCCCTTGGCAATGGGCTCGTGAGGCAGCATAAGAATCACGTTATGGACTTTGTGAACCACTTCTTGTGGTGACTCTGAGGGCAGGCCAAGGGCTGGAAGGTTCGGTACGGGACATTCATACCACTGCTGCCCACACTACACCCTTCCTTTAGGTGAGGAGAAGACCATGCCAAATCTAGAGCTTTTGGCTGACATATTTGGCAATCAAACATTGGCTTTAAATGCATTGTAAAGATTGAAAAAAACATAAACATTACATTCATGCTTGGAATACCAGGCCAACGTGATGAGAAGACTTAAACGTTCCCTGTGTCTGTGTGCACGCATGTGGTTTGCTGCACGTA